AGAGCCCAGCCATAAAGTATGACTCTGGATAGGTAGAGAGAAGATGGGAATAATTATGAGAGAGAAGAATGACATGAGAAAAGGTTGAGAAACAGAAAAGCCTAGATTTCTTTGGCAAAAGAATGAGTAGATCCCATTAGTTGGAGTGAAGGTTTTATGTCAGACAATGGTGTGAGATTAACATTGAAAAATGGGTTGATACAGATGTTGAGGGACTTGAATTCCAAGTTGGAAACATTTCAGTTTCATACTGGAAATCAGGAGCTACTGAGAAGTTAAAGTGGAATGACACAATACAAGCAGGACTTTGAATGGATTGACTGGGAAGGAGAGTGGCAGCAAGAAGACCTGTTAAGTCATCAGTTGTGCTGCTGAGTGAAAGATGACAAAGCCTAAGCCAAGGGAGAAAAACAGTGCAAGGCATTTTGGAGGAAATGTAGACAGGACTTGGTGACTAGTGGAAAGGAGATTTGATTATCCATATTGCTTTTCTTCAACAGAACAGAGCTTTCACTTTGCAATCTCATATATCTTAAAGGAAGAGAAAGAATTCATAGCTACTTCTCTAGTCTGAAAGTTGTCAACTTTGAAGTATGAAATTAATGACAAGAAATTTGAAAATCTGAATAAGGGGTGGTTACCTCCAGTTGGAAAGTCTTTGACCCTAGTTAATCTGATCAAGGAGAAGTGGTAACTTTGGAGGAGCTATTATTTTTGATAGCTTTTGCTCATCAGGTTGAAACCAATGGGAAACATTACCTAGTTCTCACATGTCATACTACACACACACTCTAAAGCCAGATAGCTTAATCATTTTTCAAGTCTCATATGTTAATTTAATAATAGGCTTTGTTGATATTAATCTTACAGAACTATAGTATTACTAAATTTTCAATAAGAACCAGCAAAGTAAAAGATCTTAGGGGGACACGAAGGTGATAAGGGCCTTTAGTGATCATCTAGAAGATGATTCTCCTTTGTGTTATAGGAGAAACTGAGGTCAAGGAAATTTTTAGAAAATGCATGCGGTACCAAAATCCAGGTCTCCTCCCTGTATAGTGATATTCCTTTTTTTTTTTTTTTCTTTAGTTCCTTACCTCAGCCTCAGTGATTCCATCCCCTGGGAAATACTTTGAAGCCAACAGTGTAGCTGTGCTGTCTCCACATTACCTTTCTCTTCGGTTTATTTATTTATACCTCTGACAAGGAAATACAACAGAGGGCCCACAAGATGAATTGGAAATCCCACTCTTCGGCATCCAGTCAGTGGCCAGGAGCCCAGAAGAGCCAATGAAATTGAGATGCTAGGAGGGGAGGGCCACAGAGCACGACCCTACCCTTGGGCCCATTGTTTGCTCTTTTGTGCATCTGAAGAGAAACAGTGGCTCTGACTCCAACATGTTGTGGGAAATTGACCATTGCCATCATCTCATTGGCAATGAGTGTGTAGGGCAGATAAAGCAGTAACTTCAGGTAAGGGGCTGAGATGGATTTACCATGAACCCAATCAAACTTAATCTTCACCAATTTGGGCCCTTCCAAGTCCAAAGACATGCCTTAGCAATTCTGTAGTTTCTACTCTCTCTTCATAATTTTTGTTGTATTTTTCTTAAAGAGATCCTTCCAAATTGTATAGACTTAGACTCTATAAATTCCTAAGATTAGCATATGCTAGGTAGTAGACCCAGTGTCCTCTCACAATGCCTTAAAAGTGTCAGTAGCCTCCTTTATTAGCTGTCATGAGTCCACGTGACCACTCTGGTCTGTCTTTTCAAATTATATCAATAAGATTATTAGAAGTAAAAGAGATAGGGCTTGCAGGGCCGGGGATTTAGCTCAGTGGTTCCAGCGCCTGCCTCACAAGTGCAAGGATCCGAGTTCGATCCCCGGTACCAAAAAAAAAAAAAGAGATAGGGCTTGGAGTGTATGTTTAGTAGTACAGCACTTGCCTTGCATGCTTGTGAGGCCCTGGGTTCAATCCCCAGCATCACACACACATGCAGACACACACATACACAGAGTTAAAAAAATACAAAAGATAATGTTGAAACCTTTCCAAGAAAGAATACCAATATTTAGACATCTTGAAGCAAGATTTTCATTTCCTGGTGGTGCTGGGGATAGAACCCAGAGAGCATTGCAAGCATTGTAGTTTAATGGTGAAGCACTTGTCTAGCTCGCTTGCAATGCTTCATCATTAAACTACACCCACCCACTCCATCCCCGCACAGTTTTTATGATTTTTTTCATCTTAATTTGTTACTGAATTTAACTAAATAGTTTCTATTGAAATTATATTTCTAAATAACAAGCAATTACAAAGAAGATGTTGAATAGAGCTATTTTGCCTATTCATTGCCTTGTCATTCCTTAGATGATAGCTAGAGGTAAGAACCATGAAAATCTTGATTTCTATTTAGATGGAGATTTATCATTATTTGTGAGATATGTCCACCATGGTTTTACTTTAAAACCACAAATAAAGTTTTCACAATGGTCATTTTTCTTGTTGAGAGGCCTGTGCTCAGACTAAACATCTCTCTGAACTGATTAGATCTTGAGGTTTTCAAATTCAATATTCAGCAAATATAGAGCATTTCTCTTGCCATTAGAAATAATTAAGAACTTCAGAGCTAATGCAACTTACCTGAGCATGTTCCTTTCTTCTAATGACAAGATAATCAGACATAATCTCTTCTGGTGGTTGGCTTTACCATATTTGAGTTTGAGGCAGAATAAATTACAAACTTTTGAAAATCTAGACCATTTAAGTTTTTTACATCAGCAAGGGGTTCATTTGCTAGTATTCTAGTTGTGGTATTTTGTGTTTTTAAAAGCTTTCTTTTTCCTCGTTTCCAATTATCCTGAATCCAGAAGACACACAGTCATTATGTGAAGACAAAGGAACATTGAATAGTTAATTATACAACAGCCAGATCTGTCCATTGTGTATTCATTATTGTAACAGATCACTGGAGGGTGAATTAGCATATTTAGTTTCAAATCTTGTAATATAAAAATGGGATTGTTTTAGCAGTTTAACAGTTTGCATAGTAACTTCATACTACATAAAGATCTGAAACAAAATGACACAAGGCTCTGCATAGTGGGAGAAGGAAATGCTCTGTAAATGATCCACATGACAAGATGAATTTGATAATGTCTAAAGTCTACTTTTCCTTTATAAACAGAGTATCACTGTAATCCTAGAGACTATGTTTGCTTTCTTAGAACCAAACTCTCTTCTAAAGAGCAAGGTCCTAAATTCAATCCCCAGTACCAAAAACAAAAACAAAAACAAAAATTCTCTTCTAATGCTAGGCCTAAAATATGTAAAAGTCATTAAACTGTTTCAGTAGCATTCTCACTGCTGGAAGGGCCTTCCAGAGGGCACCTGCTTCCCCCCATCTCCAGCCAGGACTCCTCCTAACACTGAATATAGCTCTATAGTGATCTGGATTAAGAAAGCTTTTAAAGATCCCTGGGGCTGGCCAAAAAATAGCTAATACTGGCCTGATTCATAGAACAGCATAATACATATGTCAAAATAGCCACCTTCATCAAGGAAGACATTTATCAGGGCTGTTAAGTGCTAGTACTAGCTTCCAAAGGCAAGGCTTTATTTTCTCAGAGAAAGGGTAGATTAAGGAAATGACCAAGCCTGTTGATATTTTTTTGTTTATATGTATATTTGAATGCTTATCAAAAAGGAAACATTGTCCTGTCAAAGACCACTGCAGGAGAACCCTGGAGGTGGCTGGAAGGGAGCAAACTACAAGACTTTTAGACTTACTGCAAAGCTGGGGTTGCTGCAGAGCTGGGGGGTGGGGGCGCTGTTGTTTTAAACAAAGTCCAATTAGCATCAGGTTATTGAAGGACAGATGATGAAGCATAAGAATAACATTGACAGACCCACTTTTTAAGTGATCTCTTTTTCCTCTGACCAGCTGAGTTTGTTAGAGCTGATTTTATTTCAACTCCATTAAACTGTAGGTGCAAAGGATAAGAACGTATGTGCAATTTGAAACTTTCAAGACAACCAATCACATTGCTATTCTATAGGAAAATTCACTATTGTTTAGTCTTTTATATTATTAGATTTGAAGTACTACATTGAAATCTAGGAATCTTCAAGAGTTGAGGTTCTTATATGCCTTAATTGGGACTTTTAGCCTTTCTGTTGACTATAGAGAATTTAAAGATGTAGGAAGAACATGACGGAAATGACCTGACAACTGCCTCAAATACCCACTTTCTTTTTGCAATTTTTTCCCCCATATTTCTGTGAGATTACCTAGAAGTCTGGTCACCTATGGGGAGCTGAGTAGAAATAAGATTAGAAAAGATTTTGTGAAATTTTTAAAAATTGTGTACCTTTGGCGAATTTAAATTGTGTATTTTTTCCAAGAAACTCTTTTGAAAACATTTCATTTTAAAAACAGAAAGGCATCCTCTGTGCTCTCTCAAGCCAGATGATCAGTCTGGATAACAGGAAGTGGGCAGCCCGGATTACTGGCCTCTCCTAGCCTCCTTTGTAATTCTTGACTTTGGAAATGAGAACTTTTTGATGTGCAGGGGCCTTCCTCAGAGAACACTAATCAAGAAACAATCTTCAGGTTGCCTTTCCTCTCCCTTTTGTAAAGACAACACACAAAAGAATAAGTAGACCTCCTTGGCTTTATAACATTGCCGCCTTGAGTCCCTAGCCCTTCAGTTAATGTGTAGTTTGCACCCACCATAAAAGTAGGGCACTTACGGTAAGGAAAGGATTTTCTTAGTTACTAGGATATTTGACAAAGTTTTCTCCTTTAAATTATTCATATAATTGTCCATAACTTGCTATGTGTGTATAACCTATAAGAAATTTTATTTTTAAAAGTTATCAATGTAAACAAATTCCCATAGCAGAATCAAGAAATTCCAAATAGAAGAAATGCTGAATCAACTTTAAAGAAAGATAATAAAGATGAAAAGTATAGGAAATATACAGAGTACATTCTGTCATTTTATTACAAACCCTTTACATGCTATGACATTAAATGTCATATATGTTCATTGCAAGCAAACCTTTTTAAAAATATACATACTGTATATATTTACATTCAAGTTTGAGTAACTGATGTCTAGGTGTAGTTCAGGTTCTAATCTTTACCCACCCTGTGAATTTATTCAGCTACTAACTAAACAGTGATTGTATCTTCACTCAGGCACGTGGAGAGGTAGAAACTGCTTTTTAAAACAAAACCGGAGTGCAACTCTGTAAACAGATCATCATTGAAGCAGCTTAGCTACATCAAGGGGACACTAACTACCTTTGGTCATCTCAAAAAGCTGATATATGTAGCCTGTCCTTTAAATTAAAACTAGACAAATTATGGGCAAGTGCTCTTCTGAACACATCAGAGGGTTGACAAAATTACTAAATGATCTGCCACTCTGCACCCAAGAATTGTTTATGACTGTATTAGGCAACAGCAGCAGGGCTGGGCTGGCAGGTGGAGGCACCTTTTCCTGATAAGACACAAATAAAATGCAAACTAATGGCTTAAAAGATATCAAATCAGTATCTGCACGTACACACCCAGCCTGGAATTCAGAAGCCAACTATGATACTGTAGCTCCTTTCCAAATGAAAAGCCTATGCATTTCTGCTCACACCCCCCTCCATCCCAAACCCAGCTCCTAAGTCTATAGATGGTAGGGGTGACTTCTGCAGGCCAAGGTTCTTCAGCCTCGAGACTGGACCTCAGGAAGGCTCTCGGGCCTGAGCAGGGCTGCCCGGGTTCCTGCCAGACTTGGTGGGGCTCGGTCCCGAGAGGGGAAGTTGGAGGGAGGCTACAGAGCTGGCTGTAGCCAGGAGCCCTTCGCGTTCCCTTTTCTTCTGCTTCATCCTGCGGTTCTGGAACCAGATTTTGACTTGGGTGTCATTCAGCTGCAAGCAGTTGGCTATCTCAATGCGTCGGGCTCGAGTTAAGTACTTATTGAAATGAAACTCTTTCTCCAGTTCTGTCAGTTGCTTGGTGCTGAAATTCGTGCGAATCGCGCTGGGGGGGCTAGCGGCTCCATACTCTGCGAGTTTGCCTGCAACGTAAAGACACAGCGTCAGCGGGGCAGTGAGGGAAAGATTAGAACCAAAGTCACGGTGGGTCTCTATGAACACAGTCGCGCTCTAGGAACACGGTCCACCGAGAGCTGCTTTCTCTAATATTCGCAGAGCCTGGCCCATTTTCCGAGCCTGGACTTGGGCACGCTTAATGGACTTGGCCTGCTTTAACAAGGCACTGGAAGGTGTTGCCTCCGTAAAACCTAAACTGCTGTCTAGTGGAACAGTGACAATGCCCTCCCAGCACATTTCTGAGGCGGAGGCTCCTTCTGCAACCCCAGGTGCCTGCACCCGGCACCCAAGTACTTACTTTTCTTAGGGGCATTCCTCTTCACTTTCATCCACTCGAATGTGCTGAAGGCCGCGGGGAGGCCGGACGTCGGAGAGCTGGACTTAGGGTAGGCTCCGGGGGCAGGGGACGCAGTCTGGAAGGCCCCGGGGTGGCCATCAGCTGGCTCTTTGAGACACGCCGGGAAGGGGCCCGTCTCGCCAAAGGCCGCGCAATCCACCTGGCCGCTGAGGAGGAAGGAGCCGCCTCCCGAGAAAACAGCAGAGGCGGCGTAATGGACGTGCGCCCCACTGTCGTCGGCGGGGCGCCCGAGAGCGCCCGCGAAGTCGTACGCGGCCCCCGGCCCCAGGAAGCTGTAGTCCGCGCCCCCGGCAGGTGCGGCGCCGGGCTCGTAGGCGCCCTCGAGCGTGCACTGGGCATAGCGGGGCGCGGCCCGGGGCGGCGCGGGCGGCTGTGCCGAGGCTGCAGGGGGCGAAGGCGCGGACAGGGGCAGGCAGCTGACGAAGGCGCCGTCGCCGCTGCCCAGGGGGAAGGTGGGCTGCAGGACCACGGGCCGGGCGTCGGAGCGGCAGAACTTGGGTGCAAACCTGAGCACGTCTCCGCCAGCCCCGCCGCCGCCGCACGACACGTATTCCAGATAGGAGCTCATGGTTCCAGCCCCCCTCTTCAGGGCACAGGCCAGGGCCGGAGTTCGGAACCCGGCTGGGGCTGCGGCTGGGGCTGGGCACCACCTCCGCCGTCTACCCGAGCTGCCCTCGCCGAGCCATAGCGAGCGAGCCGGAGGTAAATAGTGGCCTAATATACCGGCAGGGGCAGCCACGTGGCGCCGGGCGGCCAATGGGCGGCGGCTCCGTGCGGCTCGGGTCCCGCCGGGCGCGCGCTCCTCGCCCCTGCCCCGCCGCCAATTTGGCCGGAGCAGTCCTGGCCGCCGCCCATCGCCCCCAGCCCCGGGAGGGAAAGCCGGCGCGAGCCGGGGCGGCCCGGGGAAGGCGGGCGAGGGCGCAGGACGCCGGGAACCCTGACAGGTATTGGACGAGGTGGGGGGAAAGGCAGGGGGCGCGGGGTGGAGCGGGCGAGAGCGCATTTGCCTCGTGGGTGGCTGCTTCCTTGGGGTGGTTTAGAGGCGCGCGGGATGGAAGGGGTTAAACGGGAACGTCGTGTCACCCAGCCCTTCTCCGACTGAAGTTCCTCCTCTCCCCTTTTTCCTGTGCGCTTTTGGTTTTCTTCGCACTAGTGTCATCCCAGTTCTAAACCTGGAGCAGATGTTTGGTTTTTCCCCTTTCCCTCCTTCCTTGGATTCCTGGGACTACGTTTTCTGCCCTGAGTGCTGTGGACCTAGGACTTTCCAGCTACCTCGCAGTACACCCTTGTCTCGTGCACCCCTTCTCATCGTGTCATGATGAGGGAAGTGTTGTAGTGCCAGGTTGAGTTGGACGGAAAATAAATTTCTGCCCTGTGGGGAAGCTTAGCAGATTTCCCGCAGTGACCGGGTAATCAGGATGAACGATCCGCCCTGGGGCTCATCTTTGGAAAGGTGCTCCACGCCCGTGCTGCTCGCGAGTTTCCCTGAGACTTTTGGCTCTAGGGCGCGAAGGCTTCCCAGGGACGGGTCTGATCTCAGAGGTTTGGATCAGCTTGAAGCAATTAAGCTTCTGTGCCATCAGATAAGTGCTGCAGCCTCTCTTGCGAGTGAAATCTGGGCTCACAATGTTAATGGGCTCACGTCTTTCCCTTGATAATATGGTTTTGTTTATTGAGTGTAGAGAGACGGGAAATAAAAGTGCAATTGGCACAGGAAGCAGAAGAGTAGAAAGGTTACAAAGACAAGCTTTACACTGACAAACTTTCCAACTTCCTTGAGCATTTCTTTTAATGCTCTCCTCCGTAGGGCTGTAGGAAAGTAAGTTAAATAAATAGGGGTTATTGCATGCAGTAGTAATGAAAAAGATTAGTTTCCTAAAACCTTGTGTAAATGAAGACTCTAGAGTCTTCTTAGCTTATTCAAATGCCCTTGAAAACTTGATCTGTTACAGCCTCTAAGTTATGGTGACCTAGGTTCTATTATTGTTTTACTGATCCACTTGTCATAAAAGAGCAATTGAGCCCTTGCCTAAAATTCAACTCTGGCAACCTGGAGAATAGGAGCCATCACAGTGCAGGGAGTCAGCTCCTTACAAGGATGTGGACTGTGAATAAACAAAGCCTCACCTAAAGTGTGGCCTGAGGATGAGGCTGAAGGCCCTCCAGGGTGTGGCCACCTGTGAAGGAAGGAGCTCAAGGCTAAAGGGTATGGGGTTGCTGCACAGCTGTAGTTGTTGAATTTTGCAGAAAATAGCCCTTTAGCCTTGAGCTACCACACGGTTGCCCTAAAGCAAATTTGGAAGAGTTAGCCTTTGCTGAGAGAAGAACATCATATACTAAAAGAAAGAGATATTTTGTTATGTTTCATTTCACAACTGTCTGTGGGTGGGGGTGGGGAGTAGGGTTTGGGTAGAGCTCAATATTTGTTCAGACCCAATTAGGTCCAACTGATAATCCCACACAGACTGCTACATTCTGTTCATCCTTCATTCCCTTTAATCTGCCAGGGACTGGGAGATTCCCCCACCTCTGGCATCAGAATTTCTGTCTCCATTCCTGGCCTGGTTCTTGACTTACTGAAGTTGGAAGTCAAGTCACTGATCATCTCATACCCAGGTTCAGATGTTTGCCAACTATCCACAGTGTAGGACATTTTGTTAGAGGAAGGTTAGGTCAAGAGGGAAAAAACCACTCTCAAACCAAAGGAACGAGAGATTCATTTATGACTGAGGTCTTAGTTGTGCTATAAATTATCTACTCCAGAAGAATCTTTTTTTGTTCTGAGCTATACCTTCATCTAAGATTCTTTGAGAAATTAGAAGGTGTTATTGAGGGAAATGTGTGCATATAGGACATTTTGAGTAATTTTAAAGTTTGTATCATTCACAGGGTAAGAGAGAAATGTCTGATTTTATTACTTCTTCAAGCCATCAATTCCCAGGGGTCACTTAACCCTGCAGGGGTCCTGGTGCTATGAGTTCTCCATAGGAGGTGACAGCAGAGAAGCCTGATTACCAGGTCGTGTTTGATGTAGGAATGCTTTGAAATCTCTCCTAGCCTGCTCACTATAGCAGCCAACCCCTACTCATTCCCAGACCCAGTACCTTTCTCTCACTTTCCAATGATGAAAGAGGGCAGTCTGGTCTTCTGTGTTTAAAGTTGTTCCTTGGAAGTCCCTGGCAACCCCCTTGCACGAGTCCCACTGGGCTACCCATTGGAGACATTTGGGCACATTCAAACTTGGCTCCACAACCTCAAAGTATAGGTCTCTAAAGGGGGGAGTCTTTTATACCAGATTAAGAGAAAATGAGATTAATAGACAGGGCTCTGTAGCATTCTCCTGTTATTCTAGGATGGAGATGGAATAAAGTAGTCCTAAGGATAGGAATTGGAACCCTCTTAGAGGCCTGATAACATGACCCTCCTTGAGGAAAACAATTTCAGGTACTATGCCTTTCCCTGGGAGTCTGTAATACTGGATACATGGTAAGCATTCAATAAATGTTTGTTGGACAGAAATAATGAACAGTGCTGATTTTATCCTAATACTCAATAAAGGATATCCTTGGATTACTGACTCTCAAAACCACTTGGTATGAGTCAGAGCACCATAAAAGCTTATTTAAAAGTACAGGACCCTTGGCCCATTCCCAGAAGTTTTAATCCAATAGGTCTGATTCAGAACTATTTTTAACAAACCTTTGAGTGATCTTACAGAAAGGTTCTCCAGAACCACACTTGGAAATTTCTGCTTGAGAGTTGGACTAGCAGGGCAGTGTGAGGAGAAAGGAGATTTTTTTGTGGGAGGGACCATGAACAGTGAGAGGTCATGGCTAGCAGGTACATGAGTATACCTGAAATGTCCAGAAACCTGTTGAGTGGCAGGGCAGACCCGTCAAATGTCAAGGTCAAACTTAAGTTCAGAGAACTATAAAGTTCCAGGAAATATCCTCAAGAAGTGATCAGTATAAATCTCCGAAGTTTTGCTGGCCAAATAATGCTTTGCAGAGACTGGGTTCACTTGTGACTTTTGCAACTTCCTTAACTTGGCTTTCATGATGCCAATAGGGTAGGAAATGAAGATTTGTCTCTTCCAGTCTCCTCTGAAAAAATTTCAAATGGTTCTGAGGCAATGAAAGAAGAGAAAGAACGGGAATGGGAACCTTCAACTCTCTTTTTTTTTTCATCTTTCTCACTGGAAAGGTACTTTGGAGGCCTAAGGATCCCAGGTGGATAAAGTGTTCCTTAACCTAAGCTATGGCTCTTTGGCTGAAAGCTGACCTTTTACAGCCTATGACAAAACTAGAAGGTACATTCGAGATAAGTTACATCAGACTCTTAATTTTAGAGAGGAAATTTCTTTACTCAAAAGGCAGTGCCACTCTGCAAGAAATAAGAGAGCTCTAACTCCACAGTCCATTGACTGTCCACAGTCTTCAAAGAGGAAGAAACAGAGCCACCACTGTTCCTCTCCACTGTGGCAAGCCTCAGTGTTAAGGAAGCGGAGCAGTGTTCCAGCAGGCACATATCATTGGGCTTGTTCCTAAGAGACCACATATCATCGGGTTTGACTGAGAGGCCTAATGCCCTCCCTGTGGGATTTTTTGCTAACCCTCTAGTTCTCCCACCTTGAGGCTTCTGCAAGAGCGTAGAGATGGACCTGGGTCCCCATCTTGCACCACCAAGCAAAGCTAAAAGACCCCCTCATTCCTATTGGGGTTGACCAGCATCAGGCCCTGGAAGGTCGATACGACAGGTGTCCTAGATTGATTTCACTGGATAGAGCAAGTACCAAAAAGGACATGTTTGAACACACACAGGCATACCCAGGTTGGCTATACTTGTACTAGCCAATTATAATTTGTTCCTTTATTTTCAAAATAGGTATTACATTTATACTTACATGGTTCAAGATTCAAAGGGGTATGCAGCCATCTAGTTTCCCTTTTCATAGGCAACTGATTTTATTAGTTTCATGAATTTTTTCCAGAGATACCTTAACAATTCATACTTCCCCATGGATTTTTACACAATGTTAGCATGCTAGATGGACGCTACTGACCCGTGCTGCTTCCCCTATTATATCTTGAAGATCATCCCATATAAATACATACAGAACTTCCAGCTAATTTTTACAACTTCATACTTTTCTACTTTATACACCTGCCACAATTTATATAGCCAGTCCCCTTCCTAGGTATTTAGCTTCTTTACAACCTTTTGCTGTTACAAACACATCTTCAAACTTGTATCTATTAGAAAAATTCCTAGAAGTAAAATGACAAGTCGAAGGGTATGTGCACTGGCAACCTTCATACATTTTCCCAGACTGTTTTCCATAAAAGTGAGTCAATCTACATTTCTACCAGTAATTTAGAATTTATGTTCATGTTCTTGCCAAATCAGTGGGGTATTAAAGTTTCCATTTCTGATAATCTGACAAGTAGAAAATAAAACCTTTTATTTGCCTTTATATTATTATTCTTCCTTATCTTATTTGATCCCTTAGTAATTCTATTTTATAAGTGATAATATTGATGCAGAAAAGATAAACAACTTGTCACACCCAATGTAAATGGCTAAGATCATATGTCCAATACCCTTTCCTGTGCTATGCTGCTCCACACTGAGCTTAAGGAGGTTCAAAACAGAGGAGGTGGTACCTAGCATTCCCCAAAAGACACTAAAAAATTAATGAAACATACATATATATATATATATATTTACATATGGACAGAAGCTTTTTAACATCTGCTAAGAGGCCTCCTCTTTAGTGGTCGGATACCAAGACCACATTTGTATGTGAATCCTCTTGAGAGTATCCCTCTGGAAGCAGAGGGACTCTGATCTTAGTCCTACACATTGGTTTGGATTCATTATCTAGGAAGCAGTAGGATGTTGTTGTTTTTAATTTCCCTGAGCCTTCCTTTTCTCTGGCCACCCAGGATCTAAGTATTGATCAGCATGATGGAGGCAAGAGTATGTTTTCCCTAGGTTTTTAGCTTATCTGGGACATTCATGGGGATCTGGTGAAGAAACACACACACACACACACACACACACACACACACACACGGACTTCTAATGATAAACCTGTGAGGTAGATACCTTTATTGACTATTTCACTTATGAAACTGAAGTCCAGAAAGATTAAGTGGATTACATAGGCTCATATTATGTGTAAGTACCAAAGCAGAAAGTACAGTGTAGACCTGAAAATGAACTCATTAGATTCTTCTGCAGTCTCTTCCCTCTCTTCTGTTCATTTTGGTAAATGCCTTGGCTTCTCCTACTCAGGCCCTCAAAACAGAAACCTAGGAATTAGCATCCATCACTCCTCTTTTACTCATCCAACTTGGCACCAAGTCCTGTGAGTTCTACCTCTTAAATGTCTTTTCAGCCTTGTTACATTAGTTCTTTTCTATGCTGTATTATTTTAGCATGCTCCTTTTTTTTTCACTCTTGCCTATTTTTTCTTCTTCTAGTCAGATACAGTACCTTCAAAAGTTAGCTTTCAAAGTAGATGACCTCACATCCCAGCTTAAACCTTCAGTGGCTCCCCATTACCTACAGAGTAGGTCTGGACTCCTTTACATGAACACAGAACAACCTCTTTCCAGCCAAGATGCCCCACTGCAAGCTACACCCTGTGTTCTAAGTCCAGACCTTTCTATTTCTTCCCTCTTCATTCTCGTGTGAGTTGCTCCTCTGCCTGGTATGCCCTTCCTGCCTTGATCTGAAAAACCTTTCTTCAGAAACCCACATTTACCTTCTATGAGTAGCCTTTTTTAACACTGCAGTACCGTTGGTGGCTTCTTCATTCCAGAACAGTTTGAGAACACTTTTATGGTACTTATCACATTGTTCTAGGATTATTTCCCTCCTCTTGGAAATCATTAGTGACTCATCTTTGTATCCCAAAGCCCAGCACCAGGCCTATGGGAGCTGTTCAGTGGGTGTTGGTGAAAGGTGAGGAACGAGGGACTGACCAAACCTAGGACAACGGGCCCGGTATTTTCATTGGTCCGTGGGTGTGAGATACTTACTGTGTGAGGCTTGATGCTTCACTCTATCTGAAGCAGAAATGACAGTACAATATTCCTCCAAAAGAAGTCAGTTTCCACCCAAGATGATGAGGACAGACAAGGATGAGGGGAAGGCGGACAGAGCTGGCGGTCTCCATCCTTCAAGGACTCATTCCTGAGGACTGAGCAGCACATATCAACTAATTTCAGAAATATTTCAGCTGATGGTAGCCAGCAAAAAGGTAAAAGGGGGACCAGGCCAGAACTTTGGTAGGATTTAGGAAGACAGAAGTGACACTCCAAAAGAGGTGTAAGAATGCTTCCCACCCCACTCTACACAGCCTGTCCTGGTGTGGACAGCTCTAAGGCTGATGACTGCCCCTAGAAACTTGCAGTTTAGCCCTATGATGTTTCTAAAATTAACCTGAGGGCTGAGGTAAAAGTACTTAGGAGTCTTGCTGCTACACTCCAAGAGAAGAAACATCATTGTGACTGGTGTTTTCAGTATATGTTTATTGTTACTATAAATGACATTCAAGTTTATTTCAAGTTCAACAGTGGTCTTCCTCCCACACAAATACTCCCGCAGCCAAATAAGACTTAAGAGTTTGCAAAAACCCTCTGGCCTCATGGGCTTTTTCTCCTGCCTTCAGAGTCAGATAAATCCCTTTCTGGGAACAGAGCAGCGGGTCACTGGGGCCAGTGTGGAGAGGGACAGGGAATGCAGGGTCACTGTGGGGCAGGGGCAGGCGTGGGTGCCCAGAGAAGTCTGAGGGCTGGCGCAGCCGGCCTGTCCCCAAGGCAAGGAGGTGGCCACCAGCACTCCCCTCCAGCCCAGGCTGTAGTGAGGCGGGGGTGGGGGTGGGGGTGGGAACACCGCGGGTCACGCCCTCTGCAAGTACCCAGCCAGTGCGCCCGAGTCTCCTCCGCTGGCGGTTTCTGGTCGGCTCCCAGCTGGCCCAGACTTGCTCTGAAGTAGGAGGAACCGCTGTCGAGCGGAAAGTGCACACCGGGTGATTGATGAACTCTTAATAGGACTAACCTCTCCCGCCCCCCACCCTAGACGCGCACACACAGCCATCCTCAGCTCAACCCCCTCCCGGGCCCCTCCTGGGCAAGCAGGGATGCGGCAGGGGCAGGGAGGGTGAGGAACTCACCTTGTCTCCGCAAATGGCCCAGGTGGGTCCCGAGCCCTGCGGCGGGGGGGGGGGGGGGGGGGGCTCACGTGACGGCGTGGATCCGGCGGGCTTTGTGCCGCACTCCGCACTGCCGCCTGCAGCTATTGTTCCTGCGGGGCTGGGGCACTCCGCCTCGGGGTCCTCACCAGCCTCCTCCTCGAAACTGCCGAGAACAGGTCCCGGCTTTCTTTGTGTGTTCTCTGCCGTGCGTGCTGAGGAGAGCATCGTCGCTGTCCCAAGAGGCGGCAGGCTGGAGCGAGGGACTCTGGTGCCGCTCACTCGACCCATTTTCCCACTGGGCCCTGCAGAGGAGGTGGGGAAGGGCGGGGTGTTTGTAGGGCAGCCCTGTGAACAATAGAGGCATTTTCAAAAGGCCTTCTCCAGGCTTAAGTCTGGGATGCTCTTCTCGATAAAGGAAAGGCCCTTAGCCAACCGCCCTCCTGGCCTGATTTTAAGCCCTGGTTTTCAGGTTAAAACACTTCCACACTAGAGCTCTCCATGAACCTTGATTTAAATTAGGATGGCCTCCTTCTCCTCCTCTGGTTTGTATTAATGTTAAAACCCCACTCTGCTGTTTTCTAGGTCTTATACTTCCATGGAGATATTTTGCCATGCACCAGGGGTAGTGGCTCAGGCCCCTCAGCCCAACACTAGGGAAGATGAGGATTGCTAGTGTGAGGCCAGCCCAGGCTACATAACTAAAGGCCAGTCTGAACTATATAGCAAGACTCTGTTTTAACGCCCCCTCCCCAAAAGTATTTTGCCATATGCTTGGTATGTACCTTGTGTATCTTAGTATGAACCTGGTTCTGAGTTCAATCTCCAAACAAAAAACCCTCATGTTTTGTCACAAGTCCTAGGATAAGAAGATACATGCAATAGTTCCTACTTTCCACATCTCCTGGAGACTCTTCATCTGCCTCTGCAATTGCAAATGACTGGATATTCATCTACCTTGGCTCTCCCATAATGTGAGGAAATCTTTTGCTCACTTTGTTTCACACTGGACTGGCCTAAAAAATAGTTTTTGTATTTTCTAACTCACCAAGGTGAGAGTGAGACCCGAGGAACATGTTTAAGAATGGGTTTCAAGCCAAGTATATCAGTACATTTGTTTGACACCAACACTGGACCATTTGTAGCTGGAGTAGAAAACAAAGGAACAATGAGAATGAAGGTTTCATCCCGTGAAGATCTTTTCCATTCAACATTCACCAATGGACTGCATTCACCTATGCAGTAATTGCTGAGTATTCTTCCCTTTTTCTCTCCACCTGGGCCTTTTGGTGAGAGAGATGTAGGAGAGCCAGCCCTCAAGTGTGTTAGAGCTTGGCTGTGGACAATCCACTCTCAATTTCCTAAGTGTCCCAGGGGGCCCAAGGTTAAGCCTGCTCACCAAGTCCTTAAATGTATTCTCTGGGAAGTCAAAAATGCCCAGGAGTGATGAGGCTGTAAGCTTGTGGGGCCTGGGGCCTTCTGCCTCTCTCTTGCCTACTCACAAAATTCTGTCCTATTTTTTCTTTCAGTTTCTGAAAGACTCAAAGTAATGCCAAGAACTTCCAGGTGAAGGAGACCTTCATAGACCTGTAACTGGATTAGCCACTTCTTGAATTGCAAGAGGAAGTTACAACTAATTCTCAGGATCAAAGTCAAAACAAGCCTGTGACTCCATGAATACTGAAGGTATAAACAGGCCTCCCCAGGACAAGCACAGGAGCCCTTGTTATTAGAAGGAAGAGTTACTTTGTTATTCAAACATACACCCACACATATCCTCTTCACCCTCCCTAATGAAAAACCTCAACAGATGGAGAGCCTGGGCTCCAGGGGCTGCTGGCTGGGAAGGGCCAGCTAGCTGGTGCAGACTGGGGAAGAAGGGAGAAGTGGCTTGTATAGGTAATCACTATCTTTTAATAGTTCTTACAGATAGAAATTCAATACATGTTGTTCAGCAAGGTGAGCGGCCTCTGGGGCCTGGGAAACCAATTTGGCTGATGTGTCTTTGATAGGGATGGGTTTGGGGCTGCACCAAAGGGAATGTACTTTCTTTATATTATCTTCCCCTCTCTCATTTGAAAGCCTGTACAAAGAAATGGTACAAATGGTCGGTTAACTTAATGATTCCATTGGAGGTGGATATTTCTCTGTCAGGTCCCGGGATGAGGCTGAAGTCTGCAAACCAGAAGGCAGAATATGTAGTTAATTGCCCTCTCTTACCTCCTTACCAGTGCCAGGACTACTCTTCAAGGCCTGTTCCTCAGCAGCTTCTGCAATTTCCTGGTTAGCTCCATTCTAGGCCCTCTACTGCAGACTGGATCCTGAGTTTTTCCTGGTTGCAAGGAACTCTCTCCTTCGGCTTAAATTATTTCTCACTCCAACCCCTGCTGTGCAGCAGGCTATTCCACCCTGCCTTAATTCACATTTGATTGCTTGGACAGAACCACCCAGGATGCCAGGTGGACAGCCACCCCTCACCCATGGGCCTAGGCTCACAGCCCTGACCCCTTTCTTCAGATCTCAAGAGACCCCCTAACCACCTTGACACCCCACCAGCACCAACACACACACACACACACACACCCCAAAAACGCAGTTGCCATAGGGTAAGGGAGAACTGGCCAAAGGCACGAGCTTAAGAGCCATTTCCTCTCTTAGGCAACCACGGTAGATCCCAGAGACCAAAGCCCCAGTGAGCAAGAGGGGCCAGCTTCTTCCCACCTCCGGCCACCAGCCTGTGCTGCCTACATACGGCCTCCTCTGCTGTAGAACCCATGGGGAAGCAGCGCACACAATGGCGTGCGTGTTCCCGGCTTCTGGCTGCTCTGGGCACCCTCAAGGAAGCGTGGAGCAGGGAGGCCTCGAGCAACTTCGAGGCCTTGGTGCCTTCCCTTTGCCCCCCGGAACACTTGAGAGGCAGGAGCTAGGGTGGAGATTTCTTACCCCACCCAACTTCCTCTTGCAAGTACCGCTGCAACTCTTCCCCAAGAAGAGAGGCCCCCGGCCCTGGGCGCCGTCGGCGGCCGGCGCCCCTCCCCCTTCTTTCTCTGCTTCTCTGAGACCCAGGGAGGGAGGAGGCAGGCGCCTCTGCAGATAGAGCAGCTATTGTGACCTTCCCTCGCAGAGCGGGAACCCAGCCGAGTGTGTACTGCCGAGTGTGTACTGCCGGCGGTGGCGGGGGAGGAGGCGACTGTGTGCAAACCTTGGCTTGGGAGGGGGTGGCACTGGGAAATAAAGGTTTGCAACCTTGGGCAGTTGGGTCCTTCAGAGGGCGTTTGGTTGTGTTTAGACTTGGGTGCTTCCTAACACTAATTGCAGGCTCAAGAAGGGGAATTTATGGTGAGGGCCAAGGCGGCTTGTTTATAATTTATGAAGTTTTAAAAGGCTGTGCCAGGGGCCCGGCTCTCACCAGGGCGGGTGGCCGCGTGGGAGCACGCTCTCCAGGACTCGCTGCCGCCCCCACTCACGCTGGGAGCGATCGAGTGTGCCCATCACATGACTCACGCCAGTGACAGGAACGGATTGGAGCCACTCTCAGATGTCTTGGGAACCACCAGAGGTGGGGAAAAGCCAAGATTTGGTCCTAGCCAACCGCCCCCCGACACACACACCCTGGAACGGAGGGCCCCGGGGAGCCGCAGCTGCTCAGAGAGGGAGCCCCCAGCCCGGCACTTCTTGGTGCCTGAGTGTGAGAGGAAGCTGATGTCAGCCTGGCAAGACACCGTTTAAAGTCTAATCCATGAAACCCAAAGCCACAGATGACACTTGGGGCTTTGCAGACACCCGCAGACTCAGCAGATACTACTGTGGTAACACAGGGCGCTGGAAAACGCCTGAAGCCATGATGCATTATGTATTTTTATTATTATTATTTATGGTAGGAAGAGATGAGGGAAAACCAGGATGAATCTAAACAGCCTGACGATTCATCTATTTAATATTTAGCCAGTTAAGAAAGGTGGTTGTAATCCTTGCAAGGCAACAAGATCTTGATTCCCCTAATAGCTTAAAAAATAATTTTGTACAAGACAATTAGAAATTCTGCCTATGGATGCAAATTTCATAGAAAACAATGTTAAGCCTTGAAACTGGGTAAAATGTCTTCAAATGAAGTCATTTATTCTGTCGATACACATCTACAACATACATACTTTAAACCTGCTCAGATAAAGTGAAATTTAGCAAAATATCCCCTCCTGCCCCCAATCTAGCATGCCATTTTAAAAACAGCACAACAGAACAAAAAAACTGAATGTTATTTTGAGCCATCATTAGTGAAACACAAACATCCAAATAGAAACAATTGTTGTTCCACCAGAAGATAAGTTAAATTATTTCCACACAATAGGGATTTCACCTCTTGTCACCAAGGATGTAGTAGGAGTTGCATTATTTGTCAAACCAAATAGAGATGCGTGGGCTGACTTTGCTAAAATACAAAAGAATTGAAACTTATTTGAAGGCGTTTTCAAGTGTCCCCTCCCATAGAAGCGAGTGTTGTCTGCTGCTAGCTAGAGCCACATTAATATTTACAAAATGGTTATGAATCTTTGAAGACATTTTTGCCCGTTTTGTACAAAGAAACAGGAGTAAACAGTTTTTATACGTGTTATGTTCCATTAGTGAAACATTTATTACTTTACATCGTGGAGAACATTTGTTTTCTTTAGAAATGAACTACCCACCACTACAAAGGAAAACTTCACAACAGCATTTCCTAGAGAAAAGGCTTAGGTGCCTGTCTCCAAATGATTTTTTTTGGCACCTTAGCTCTTCATAGCTCAAGTCTTATGAATTCCTTTGTGTCTTTTCTTTGATTGTCAGTTTTCTTTCAAAGTTTTTTTATTACTTAATGCAGAAAAATGAGCTCTGGCCTCCCTAATGTAACAGTTGATTGTGTCTGGAGAGAGGATGATAGAAATGGCCAGGCAGGCGCTGCAGTGGCAAAGCCCTGTCCCAGTCATCCCACACAGGACATTTCTAGGTTTGCACCCTCAGACACCCCCCTCCATTTCAATAACTGGAATGTAAGCAAGTATCACCCAAAAAATCAATTTATGTACTAGATTCCAAATAAATAAAAGTTTTTCAAAGGGTCAGCCTTGTTCTTGGTCTTCCATTGGGATTGTTCAAAAGATAAAGGCAGAGTGATGTGCTTGCAAGTGTGTGTGATTAACACAGATAGACTTCCAACTGAGAAAAGTTTTTATTCTAAATATTTGTTCAAATAGTACCAGACAATTTGAAATCAATAAACTGTGACAAGTGGCAAGGGCTGTGGCTGTTGAGAAATGAATAAGGTGTGTTGTGCCATGCCACTGGGCTGCTTGACTCTACGACCATGAAGGACAATTTGTGGTCTTAATCCTTTACATCAACTACAAACACCAGCCATGGTTACAACTGTTCAAAACTACTCTCAACTAGTTCAGACCAAGGGGACTAAACAGGTGAAATGTGGCCCCCAAAGCCTGGGAGCACGTTCCTAAGCTCGGCTGGAGAATTCTACAAATATACACATAAATACATTAAGAGGAGGAATAAATAATCAGGGAAACGAAATGAATCGCTTCAAATAATAAATACAGATCGTTTAGTCCAATGCAATCCTTACTGGACGGGGAAGGAGCATATAAATTAAGATCTCCAAAACTAAGCTAGATGCAGGCCAGGCCCAGGACTCTCCAACTCTAGTCCTTCCGCAGGCAGGGCGCATGGCCAACGGGTCTCAGACTTACCTTCGGGACACCATTACCAGACTAGAGTCCCTCGGTCCGCAGTATATGGCACTGTCAGGCTTGCAGGGGAGGATCCTTGCGGCTGATTTATGGCGAGTCACCCGAAGGAGGACGCGCATGGAGGGGAGGCCCCATAGCCTCTGCCTCAGCAGCTGGAGACCTGGGAAGCAGGGGCCAGGCCAGAGCTGGGGAGGGGGGTCCCCGAGCTGCCCCGCGGGACCCGCCCGCCGCCACCCCCCCCCACCAAAACAAAAGAGGTAATTACGCCGCAGGTTCGGGCAGAGGGTGACCGCTACAGATGTGTCAGTTTGGGGGCCTCGGGCAGGCGTCCCTGAGAGGAGTGGTGAGCCGAAAGATCTGTGTAGGTGGGATGAGGGTCGCACGGTCCGTGGTGATGGTTGCCAGGAATTTGCGCAGCGCAACTGTAGTCCACGCTAGCCGAAGATGGGTGCGAGAGGTGGCCCAGGTTGAAGACGGGCCCGGAGGCGGGCGCCATGGAGTCGACGAAGTTGCCACCCACATACACAGGGCTGCCCTGCAGGTTGGCGCTGGCGAAGCCGCCGCCGTTGCTTGCCATGGGGTGGGGCTCGAACTCGGGCGCCGCGTAGCGCTTCTGCTGTGGGAGGCAGCTGCTGAGCGGCGCCGTGTAGGCGGCCAGGCCGTACATATTGGGCTGCGATTTGGCGAAAGCCGGCGGCGAGGGTGCGTCGTAGGCCAGGCCTGGCACCGGCGGCAGCTGCCCAGAGTAGGCCACGTGGCCAGCGGCGCCGCCGAGTGGCGGGCTGCGCTCCGGAGACTGGCCGGCCGGCGAGTGCAGGATGCCCTTGGCCTTCTGGTCCTTCTTGTACTTCATGCGCCTGTTCTGGAACCAGATCTTGATCTGGCGCTCGGTGAGATTCAGCAGGTTGGCCATCTCCACCCGGCGCGGCCGGCACAAGTAGCGGTTGAAGTGGAATTCCTTTTCCAACTCCACCAGCTGCGCACTGGTGTAGGCCGTGCGCACCCGCTTGGACGCCGGGCCTGGCGGGCTCTTGTCCTCGCAGCTCTCTCCTGGGCAGGGAACGAGAGAGAGGGGTCGCTGAGGGAGGGGGCAGAGAGCCCCAGGGATGAGGAGGGGTGCTTCCCTGGCTCTGCTGGCCTCCACCCTTCCCTGCCTCCAATCCTGGCTGCGTGGGAAAGGGGCATTCCAGAGGGGAGAGTCAAGTGAAAACTCCGCCCCCACCCCAGGTCTAGCTATCAGATGCACCTGAAACCGGCATCTGCCTTCTGAAGTCCTATTCTCTCTGCACTCCCTCCCCCTACATCTCAGCCCATCATCCCATCTCAACCCGAAGGCCATGAAGGACTTTAATGAGAGACAAGGAGCAGCTGGTGATGCCTCCCCTCTGTCAAAGAAGGGCCAGACTTCTCTCGGAACACACCTCCCAGCCTCTGCTACTGAGTGTGTGAGCAGCTCGCTGACTTAGGGGCTGGATCCTGGGCAAGGCACCTCCCCAGGAAAAAATGGGCGTGGGGATCTTACACCCCACTCCAGACTGGCTGCACCAAGAGATGGGGAGGTGATAAACCCAAAAATACTGTCTTGGCGTTTCCAGGGTTCCAAGGCCAGGCTGAAAGCATTTTGAGTATGACAGTGCTGGTGCAGCAGCCTCTACCCGGGCTTCCACCACCCCTGCCACCTCTCAGCTGCTTGTCCACTCCCTCACTGGGAAGACAAATGGATTTCTCCTGAGAGGGAGGGCCTGAGCCTGAGCCTGAGCTGAGGACAGAGCGGGAGGAGAAGGAGCTGGCAGGCCGGAAGACACTTTCCCCCCAGGAGGAGCAGCCCCAGAGAGCCACAGGCCAACCAGAGATCCAATAACAAGCTACATCCCAAGCCTCAAACTAGCCCTGGACCTGGAATCATGTTTATCTATCTGAAAATGATCTGCAGCAGAGAACACAAGGCCAAAAAAGTGTTAAAAAAAATTGTTAAGAACCAAGTAATCCAAGCAGACAGAAGGATCAGGTGTCAGCTCCTGGTGATGCCCATCTTCTTCCACGTGCCCTGGATGGACCTAGAGAAGATCTTCTCAACCCAAGGGTCTCCTCTTGCACAGAGAGAAAGCCCAGGCTGCTCCTGTTTCCCAGAACTTCCTCTCCACCTGCAATATGCACCTTCCTCTCAAGGGTTTGCTGACTGGATGAACTGGGCTGAGATGGCCAAGTAGTTTCGTGGTTATGCCTGATAGGCCCTGGAGTCAGACTGGTTGGATTCAAATCCACCACCTTGCATTTTTGTCAACTTGGGCAAGTTGCATATCATCTCTAGTAGTTTCCTTATCTAAAAAATGAGGCTGTCTCACATACGTACCTCAAAGTGTTCTTTGAAAAATTAGATAACACTTGTAAATTATTCAGCACGATTCTTCACAGAGCACTCCTTAGTTTTTATTAATTGATTCATATGATATGGGCTATATAACCACCTGCACTTAAGATATTTGCCTCCAAATTCTTTTCCTTTTCTTTCTCCCTTTTCCTGTTCTCTTTTCTTTTTTAAAGACAGGGTCTCACTATGTTGCCCAAGCTGGCTGGGCTTGAACTTCTGGGCTCATTCCTCCTGCCTCAGCCTCTCCAGTATACCACTGTGCCTAATTCTGCGTTCATTTTCTGAAGGGCTGTTGGGTTGAAGAGGGAGCTGAGTTATAACCAGCAGCCCAGAAAAGCAAATAATATGTCAGTATAGTGAAGAACTTTCTATTAATAAACATGAGATCTGTTCATCAGTGACACCAGCAGCCTGGAATGGAAGTGAGCACCATATTCCCACAAGGCTAAGACTCCAATCAAAGACAATAAAAAGGAAGGCTATTTCTGCAAGAGTAGGAGTCTGGACATATGTCTTCCAAGGTTGCTCTTAGGTCCCTGAGTCCCTTGGTTCCTGGGTGAGTGGGGCTTCCTGGGGCCAGTCTATAGGAAACTTGGTCCAGGAATGACCCCCCTCAGACAGCTACCTGCAGTGGCACAGCTGTTCTTCTGCTTGGAGTTCTGTCGGGACTCTTTCATCCAGGGGAAGATCTGCTTGCTGATGGTGGCTGAGGAGTTGGAAGCATTGGGCCCACCCTTGACCTTCTTGGCAGGCACTCCACCTCCAGGATTGGTAGGTGAGGATGGGGGCAGAGTGGGTGGTGGAGGGGGGGGTTGTGGTGGCTGCTGCTCTGAGTTCAGACCAGGAGGCTGGCTGCCACCACCCCCACCCTGGCTGTTCCCAGTGCCAGGTCTCATGCAACTGCCATTGAGTTCAGCCCCCTTGTGGGCTGGGGCTCGCAGAGGTGCAGAGCTCTGGATGGAGCAGGCAGAACCTGGGTAATCAGTGTCCAGGGAGTTGGCGGCAGCAGGGGGTGGGTAGGGCTGATGGGGGGTACCATAGCCATAAGTGTCAGTGGCTTTGCTGTAGCTATAGCCTCCGAAGAGTCCTGGGTTTTCATAGTATGCAGCCTTCTGCATTGTGCATTCAGGAAGTTCCAGGGCTTGCTGACCCTGCTCAAATAACATTGACTACCACTGTGTCCTTCACCACCACTTCCAGTGTCTGCTGAATCCTGAGAAAGCTGGGCCAGCCCCCAGGCTCCAGGTGACCTGCCAAGAAGAAAAGTGAGAGGCCCCAGAGGGACTGTCATTGGCAAGACCAGTCAATGTAGAAGGACTAGCCCAGGCTCTCTGCTTCCCACCACCTCCTGGTGGGGAGGGATGCCTAAGGTTCTGGATCTGGGGTTTTACAGAATTTAACTTAGTTGAACCCTTGGAACAGTCAGAAGGAATTTCTCCTAAGTATAAGAAAAGACCTTACCTTCTCTGTAGCTCAACTCTACCATATGGAAGGGGCTTTCTCCCACCCACCCCCATCAATTTTCTTTCTCCAAAGTTGTCAATTTAGCTTTTGAACCTGCAGGAAAAAGCACTTATGGCCTCATACATTTTACTGGCTGATTCTTCCCCTAAATTGGGATGTTACTGCAGGCAAGAAGTGTTTCTTATTCATCTATATATTCCTAACATCCATAACAATGCCCTGCATGTAGCAATGCAATAAATGCTTGCTGAATGAATTAATTAATGGATTAATCTTTGGGTAAACCAATGTTTTTGTTTGCTGGTGCTGGAAATAGAACTCAAGACCCTGTGCATGCTAAACAGATACTCTTATTACTGAGATATATCCTAGCCCATAATTCCAGCGTTTTCTCAGAACTGCCAGAGCTCCCAAAAAGAAAGTTTCTCCCCCACCTGGTTTCAAAATCACAGCATCTTTCATGAAGACCCAGATATCCACTTTTCGATGACAGGGTAAGAATCCTCCCAGTTAGTTCTGTGGGTCAGCACTGTGAAATCTACAATGTAGAAAACTAGGAGATAAAAACCAAGGAGAGGTCTTAAAAACTCCAGGCTTATATTGCTGCTAAAAATGTTTTCCTTTCCACCTACATTTCTCTACAGCCTTTACTTTGTCCCCTCATTCTTTTTAAAGGTGTGCCACTGGAAATGAGTGAAGAGACTTACAGTTTGAAATTCATGCAGTATAAGTGAATGGAGAACGCTTTACATTATAACTATCATTTTTACCCTGGATCTATTACATAAATAGATATTATTATTGACCTCTGGATCACGTATTTCACCCCAATTCCCACCCCACTCAGCCAATGAGAGAATCTCTCTTGACATGATGAATGGACCCAGAATTAGAAAAAGAAGCTCAGAAAAATTCTACTCCTTTTGTATCCTCTGATTCCTGATGGGAGTTCTCTCGACCTCCCTCCCTTCTTCTTCTGAAAGGCTCTTAAGGAGTTAAAGTATAACTAATACCATTCAATCACTTTTGTCTGTTTGATAAAGAAAACTCACAGGTCAGCTCCCTGGTCTTAATTCTTGATCTCATCTTTCAGGCAACTTTCCTTTCCAGAATCTCTCCCTAACTTGATGTCCACTGTGGGCATTGTGATGGACCGTATTATGTGGACAGCTAATGTGTTGACCACAGGTACCAAAATCACTTCTCCATGCACCCAGTTTTCTATCAACTTTCACCAAAGAGCCAAACCAATTTATAAATTCTTCAAATTAGCTTTGTTTGGTACTATTGTTGCCCATTTTGTTTTAGAATATAAATGAATATGCTATTTATCTTGATGAGAGATGGGCCTTTAAAGGATACTATGCTAAGATGTTATGTTGTAGAAATTGTTTCATTGGTGTTTATAAATGTGTGCAGCTAACAGTGGTAGAACAGTTCTTTTAATTAATTTTCTGTATCATTCTCTGACTGTTAAAATTATGGAATATCAAATGGACAGCTAAATTTTCATCCTTTGACCAATATTTACATGTGTTTGCCCTCAGGCCAAAGGACCTGCCACTTTGGGTTAAGTTTCAGTGGTTTTCTGGGATCTTGCTTCAAGCCCTAAGCCTCTCCATGTCTAAGTGTTCACTATACACACCAAAACTCGCTGCCGCTTCTGTCACTCCATTGACAACTGTGGAAGCAAAACATCTTCCTGCCTCCCAAGTTGATCAAGTTTATCTTGATAGGGGGACCGGTCATATTAAACGATTCTTTATGAAATGAACAGGCTTATGGGACAGATGATCACACACACACACACACACACACACACACACACACACACAGAGTAGCATTTTCCTAGAAAAAGCTTTGTGTAGAGACCTCAAAAGTTGTACACATATGGAATAGTGTCCTGAGTTACCAGTCTGTTCTCCTGCCTGTTTGCAATGTCTTAAGGAATTTCTAGGCCTATTGAATGATGATCCACTATCTTAATAGCCATTTCCCCACAAGCAAAGGCAGCAGCTGCATTGTCCTCAACTGGAAAAGGCTTGGCAGAAACACAGTGCCCCTAAGAAGCCCCTTCTCCTAAAAGCAAAACCTAAGAATATTGTTGTGAAACTTTTTTAAAAAGGGGATTCTTTCCAGAAATCCCTACTCCTTGTGAACTCTGCTTGAACCTAAAAAGCAGGAACGGGTCATAAATCACTTGGACAATGCTCAACTGTTCAGTGGCTCATCTTTTTGAACCCACCCCCGCTTTCTTTTCTCGCCCTTTGGTACCTTTGCTCATTTGGGTTCCAAGACCCAAATGCCTTGGGGTGAAGGTGAGCCTTTAGCGGGGGAGGGGTGGTTGAGGAGGGTGCAGCCCCCCCCCTTCCATGGTCCTTTCCTCTGCCTCCTGCTCCTGTCCAACCCTTAGCCCAGGGAGTGGGATCATGCACCTACCCTAAGCCCCTCCAGAGCCATCCCCTACCCCTCTTGGGCAAGGGACACCAAATGGGTCTGGCTAGTCCTTTCTCCAAATTCCTGAAAGTCCAAGTCAGCTCGGAGACCTAACTGAAGGCCAAACGATCTCCAGCCGGAAGGAAGGAGTCCTCAGAGCCAACACCGCCTGCTTCCTGCTTCCTGGCGGGGCTGGCCAGCCGCACCTCTGAAGCAGCCGAGCCCCGATACTTGCTCACTGCACTTAATTCTGCCCAGGATCAATACCTAATATGATACCGAATAAATAAAAGGCGCTCACAGCGGCCAGGGGACGGGGTTATTAAGCAGCTGGAGCTCTCACGGTGCATATCAATGCACCTGTCATTGTGGTTTGTAACAAAATTTATGACTGCGACCACGGCAGCAGTAAACGCTTCAGTAAGGAATGAAAAGAAAAACACTTCTCAAGGCCCGGCACTTTTCAGAAGTGGAAAGAAGGCTCCGCGTAGGAGGCAGCGCAGCAAAAGAATTCCCTACTCCGCACTTTTCCCCGCTGGCGCACCCCACGAACAGCGGGATTATATAGAGCCGGCGCCGGGCTCTGCAAGCAGCTCTGCTCGGCAGCCGAAGGCGGAACGGGACACGCAGCCTCCTCGCCGAGGACCGAAGACCCACTGCCCGCCTGGACGTCGGACGCCCAGAAAGGCTCCAAGGACTCGCAGAGGCCCGCGGTGGCCGTGGGAAGGGCGGGTGGGGGGTGCTTGCAAAGGGAGGAGGTGACAGTCGTCTGGCTGTGTCTAACACTGCAATTATAGTAAATCTTGGACGGACACAGTGCGAGTTGAAGGAAAAGGGGGAGGCGGTTGAGCGCTGATTTCATCAGTTTCTCTCAAAAATTTCTAAGGTTCCGGTTGGCCCCTGCTCTTCTTACTTTGCCTAAACCTGGGCCGCAGAAGCCCACGGATGTCTTTTTCGCCGCCAAGAATCTCACTGGGGATCAATGACTCTCCTCCCCCTGATGGCTTTGCTACTTCAGGTTTTGGAAAGTACTCTTTTTCGAGTTTGCTTCTGAGAGGGTTTATTTACGTCTTGCCCGAGTTCCCCTTATCTCTCAGCCTGAGCCTCTTTGCCCCTGTGGGAAGCTCTGGATGTGTATTCTAAATCACTCTTATTTAGCCCAGATAACTCAATACTGTAATACACCCTGCATTTAAGGCACTGGGCTCACCCCCATTAAAGCACCATAAATTTGAAGACCGATGATCGGTTATCATGTAACAGGCGGCAGTTCTTACTGAGGTGATCCACTTCAAAGCTGCCCTTTGTTTTATGTCTTGATGTATGAATCCTGAGATGGCTACCTTGAGTTGCAGGAAAAATGGAAATGGACTGGAAATTAGTTTTAAAAATCACCCCCACTCACCACAATTTTGTATGTGTGTTTTCTTGAATTTTGTCTCTAATTCTTTTTGTAGGCTCTTCGGTTTCTTTTGATTACTCTGTGGAGGCGGATCTGGAACAAAAAGGAAAAAATAGCAGCCGATTCTTTTCTTACAAACATACATCGAGAAGCCTTACCCCCTTTAAGGGTGTCTTAACCAATGTGACTGTTGTATGTGGTGCCCACAGCCATTCCAGATGCTTTTGCCCCAGCAGAAAGAAGAATCGCTGGCTCCTGGGGAGCCAGAGGCTTTAAACAACAAAATCTTTGACAGGATGGGGGAGAGCTTGGACCTCAGGAGAGTGCCGGGGCGCTGGCCAGTGTGTGAGCCAAGAGGTCCAGAGGTCCAGGGAAAGCAACCCGCTTTCCTCCTACCCCAAACAAGCTCCAAAAGCTCCTGGTCTCAAGCCCGGACTCTGCAAAATTGAGGTGGGAGAGAGGCTACAGTTTAGGGCACCCGGAAAGGGGGGCGGATGCACTTGGGAGGATTGTAGTCCAGGCTATGCTGCAAAGAGGGTGCTGGATGCTATTTCCTGGTTTGCATATATCTTTATCTTAGATGGTTTCCTCGAGTTTATTCAAGTAAGCGGCCGCCATACTCTCGGCATGGGCTGGCCACTTCTGTGTCAAGATTAGGCTGCAAGCCACCTAAGAAACAAGCGCCCTTTCCACCTCCACGGGCAAACACAGACCAAGCAGCCCACCATTACCGCTGCTCCGCCGGGGCTTGCTTCTGATCAGGTGGAAGGAGAGAGACACAGTCTCCCTCTTGCATCTGCCCTACGCAATTTGTCGACTCAGTAGTTTGCAAACACTAAACTGCACCCGGCAAAGCCCCACACAAAGCGTTCCGGGCGCTTCTAAAGACCAGAGCGCGCAGCCGTAAGCCT